CGCATGCAGGTCGATGGTCGGCGACTTGGTGTTGAGAAGCTTGTGGAACCACCGTGCCCACCGTTGGCGAATAAACGTGGGGGGGATGGACCTTGCCGTCCTCGTCCTTGATGTTCTGAGAGGTGAACGACCTCTTACCTTCGACGTCGATCATCTTCAGGTGCCTGTAGAAACCCGCCTGATCCCCCTCGCGGCTCTTCTTCTCGAGCTGCCGTACACAGCCCTCGAAGAACGTTTCCAGTGCTCTCCACCTCGCGATGCTGCGCTTCTTCCGCGCCGCCTTGAGCATCGCCTTCAGGGTCGCCTCGCAGGCGCTGTTCTTTGAGGCCCCGCGCAGTTGCTGCTGGGCCGCCTTAATCTCCTTCGACGCGTCAGAGATCTCGTGCTGCGCTTCGCTCGTGTACCAGCCTCCCTTCCCTCGTGCGCTCCTCGCCAGCGGCGCGATCTCCGCAGCGGCCGACATCACCACAGCGGTGAGCTCGGCGGCGGTCTCTCCCGTTGGCCTGCTGAGGGCCGTGGGCGGAGGGCGGTTGAGAGCCCTGTCTTGGAAGACGGCCCGTAGGTGCACATCCTTCCTCAACCGTTCGAGGTCGATACGGATCCGGCTGCTTCCGCTGTTTCCCCGCGTTCGTCGGTTGGGTGCGACACGGGGGGGGGAGCGGACAGTCGTATGCACCAGGTTGTGGTCAGCGTCTTTGAAAGCGACACTTTTGACGGAGACATTACGCACGAAACGCCGGTCCGTCTGTCGCATGAGGATGAAGTCGAGGCGGTACTTCTCCTTCCCCTTGTTGGAGCTCTGGAACGTATGCTGCACTCCTCCTTTCGGTGTCCGGAAGTAGGTGTTGATCAGGGAGAGTCGGTTGTCTGCTGCCAGTCCGAGAAGTCGTTCCCCGTTGTTGTTCATAATGTCGCGTCCGTACGCGCCCATAATCTTGGCATCGCAGCATCCGTCTCGCCTCCTGCCAGTACGTGCGTTGGCGTCCATTAGTACCACGAGATGGTCACGGCTATGGACCTCCCGGATCTCTGCGTCGAGAGCAGTCCAGAAGGAGTCCTTGGCATTGACATCACCGCCCGCGGTGTTGCGGGCAGTTTCCGTAGGGGCGTACCCCACCACGAAAGTTACTCCGCAGGTGCGGCCAATTTGCAGGCGCACCTTCATCAGCCTCGGGCTAATGCACTCCACCGTCCTACCTTCCTCGCCCACACTCTCCCACATGGCCTCCTTGATCGCTATGCCCACACCGTGTACGCCCCTCTTGTCCTTGGTGCCAGCACGGGCGCCACTCCAGATGATCACGTACCCGTCGTGTGCAATCGAACCTTGCCCCTCTCGTGGGGTCTCCTGAAGTCCTGTCACATCACAGCCGGTCGCGCCGAAAAAATCTGCATGACCGTCATCACGTTGTGGCCGATGGGGTTCCTACCGCTGTAGGCGAGCGTGCGTACCTTGAACGTGCCGAACGATAGGTCGCCCTCTCGTGCCTTCTTCTTCGCAGCCGCCTTGACGGCCGCTGCGGTCTCGTGTCTCTCTCGATCTACTTCGCGTTGCGGGTGTGCTTTCTTCCGTATTTTCCGAGCGGCGACTTTCCTCGCATCAATTCATCTCTGCAGAGCTCGATTCTTGCCTGTGGTGTTTTGACGAGGAGGGTGCAGCACTCCCTCCCCGCGNTGCCAGGTGCAGTTTGCCGCTTTGCATTACTGCCGCGGGAACAGCAGTGTCCATACACACTTCTCGCCACTACCACCGTCTGTGCATCCTCACCGCCACGCTGAGCCAGCGCGGCGGTGAGTTGCACCTTGGGACACCACCCGCCTACTATCTGTTGTGGCCTGGTTCGCCCGCGAGGGACTCACTAGGTCGATTTTCAGTTGTGAGCATGCAAACGTGCTGCAGGGATTGCAGGTGTACCTCCTCGGGCTTGTGTACCCTTTTTTTCTTGCTAATATTGTGCGTGTTCTTTAGATCTTCTGATGATGGCTCGAGCATTTTTGTGACTACGGACCGAGTCTTTGGTAGATTTTGGGATTAGCAACTGACACGAGTTTAATGTGAAGAAACAACAACAACAACAACAACAACAATAACCCGATAACTCGAAGGAGCAGTCGGTGGTGTACCGACCGCAGGGTCTGATAGTGGCCGCTGAGTGGTGACCATATTATGCAGCCGTACAGCAGTACCTCCATCGCCTCCGCCTAGAGCAGGCGGATCTTGAGTCGGAATAGCGCTTGCGGTCTGTCGAAGAGCTCCCGGCCATATCGCCTGAGGCACGCCCACGCTCCTCTGCTCCTGTAGTTGATCTCCCGGGTGAGGTCGCCATGTTCGTTGACGAGGCCACCGAGGTACCGGAACTCGGTCGTCTGGGCGTATTTCTGTTCCGCGGCTTCGATGGTCAGCGGTGGAGGCGGGGCGGGCTGTGATGTTGTAGTCGGCTTGTCCTTCGCGCGCATCAGGAGCGTCTCCGTCTTCTCCGACAGTCTACACACTACTGCTGTACCATTCCTTGTTATCTATCTTGGACGCAAGAATCCAAAAGATGTGCAAAAAACACACCAAATTTCAACAAATCGTATGATGGATGTTCAGATTCTCCTTGGACGGGAACAGCATACATGTAAGGATAGCCGTTGGCCGCTTGCGACCGGAAGATCGAAAGATCGAAAGTGGCATTTCACAAAGATCAAGATTTCGACCAGATACTTGCCTGTGCGCACGCACGCTCCCAAATTCAAAAGTCTGTGGAGCGTCTACGTCTTGGAGGTCTGCAACAACGAAGTTATCTGTATGCGGGGGCAGAGGTGTGCCGTTCACGTCCTGGCCGCGGTCGAGTGCGTGTCAGCGTGTCAGCCATTGCCGCTAGACATGCAAGAGGGTGTAGTTGTTCAGATTCTCCTTGGACGGGAACAGCATAAGGATAGCCGTTATTAGCCGCTTGCGACGGAAGATCGAAAGATCGAAAGTGGCATTTCACAAAGATCAAGATTTCGACCAGTTCCTTGCCGGTGCGCACGTACGCTCCCGAAGTCGAAAGTCTGTGGAGCGTCGACGTCTTGGAGGTCTGCAACAACGAAGGTATCTGAATTCGGGGGCAGAGCTGTGCCGTTCACGTCCTGGCCGCGGTCGAGTGCGTGTAAGCGTGTCAGCCATTGCCGCTAGACATACAAGCGGGCTGGTCGGTACGCCGGTACCTGTTACCGCTCAACAGAGACACTAATGAGTATTGTATTGCTCAAGCAAAAGAAGCACGGTCGGTGCAATACCCCCGCTCGAAACAAATACCTCCACCTATTTCTTGTTGGGCCTCCTTTTATATCGATACATTTAGCAGTAACCTGACCTTTTTTCTCGAACGCATATGGATATGGGTATATATCGCCGAGCAGTAATGTTCAGGCATGACGCTGGCACTCTCTCGGCTGTTGTTGTACGACACTCTCACATCGACCTCCCTGTAAGAGGGTCGGCACTGCTGTCCAGTGCTGTCGCAGATCGAACAGCCTGCTGCACCACACATGGCAGATGGCGCACAGGGTAGAGCGAGCCCAAGTTCAAGTTGGCCCCTCAGAACGAGCGAATATCGCCATTACTTGCTGACCGACTACACCGCAGCGTACATCAAACGCAAACACACGTGACCTCTTGCCACTCAACCAACCACCTGGATCCGGCGAAGTGTGCAACACAGACAGCACCCACACGCGGTGCCTTCGGTGTGTGCTGGTGTGACTGACCCTCTCGCTCCTTCACCGCATATGATATTCGCCCGTGGTTTTTTTGGCTCTAGGAGGAAATATGACTCTTCCACATGAAAACAGAAAAAAACTGCTGCCCCTGAGAATTTGACCTCTAACTTGTTTTCCCTCGACCACATATTCATTCGCAACCGCCTGCGCCAGGTCACCGCTTCCGTAGGCTCCGCAGGCCAGGACAAGGGCAAACCAGGGAGGCTGACAGATCCAACCGAGCACGTCTCTTCTATATTTCGAGTGTGTGCTGCGTGTGCTGGACCGAACTCTCTAGTCTACGACCGACCGGCAGCCTGGCGCGTGAAAATTCAAGGCCCCGAAACCTTCAACCTCGACACGAGAATCCAGATGACGACGGTGCGGGCTGTGGGAGCGAAGCGACCTCGGGGCTACGTTGCTGCAGCTGAAAAACCAACGCTGCCATGGGCTGGAAGGGTGCCGAAGCCTGCAATGGACGCAGATAGTTTTGTGGACTACGGGAGCGGATTCTTGAGGAAGTCGTGTGACAGGTGGGTGGCGTGGTAGGAGGGGACGTAAGACAGATGGAAGCGGAAAAAGAGACAAGAGGGCGAGGACTCACGGCGGATAAAGCCAATGGGTGTGCGCCTTATGTGAGCTAGCTTATGCGCGCCAGCCTGGGCGTGTGCAGCTGCCACGACCATGGCAAGGCTTTGTTTCAGTCGGCGGCTGCACCACGCGGGTGATTTTGGGGAAGGGGTTGAAGGCGAGCGGAGTTTTTGTTTTTTGGCGCGGAGAGAAATCGTTGGTGCGTGCGTAGTCTGCGCTCTCATCGTTTGCCTGTGTTTGGGCCCATCATGGCCGCTGCCGTTGCACGGGATGGTGGCAGCTAGCCTTCCGATGATGCTACCACCCTTGCTGGCGGTTTCTGCATCGAGAGAGAAAGAGAGCATGAGAGAGAGACGGAAGCAACATCAGCTTTAGAAGGATTATTTCGAGGCAAAATTCAAACGTCCACGCACACATTATAGCAGCCTGCCTTACCGCCCAGTTCGTGGTCTCGAAACGGCAGATGGACACATGCGCGCGGATGCAGCTGTGGATGCGCCCACACATCTCACCGGGCGCATTCCGCACCTTGGCTCTACGTCTCTACCGCTTCGCTGTTTCCCCACCATGCCCTGCGCATTGCCGAAAGCGAAGCTATCCACTCTATCCGCACTCATCAGCCAACCTTTTTTTTTCACGTGTGGCCTTTCCCCCTCTTCAACCTCCCGGTAGCTGTGTCAGCAGCAAGCGGCGGTGCGATGGTCAAGACCCCTGCACCCGTTGCTTGCGAAGGAAGAAACCATGGTGAGTGAAGCACCACTAGTCTGGTTGAAGTCATGATTGCCACGGCCATCTCTGACATCGCAGGACCACAGAGTAAGGTCACCTCATTCCGCGGGGGGCGTGCGTGGCGAATTCCGCAATGTTCACATTTAGACTGATTCGAATGAAACACCTAATGTGAGGCTCACAACTCTCCGCACCTTTCTGGCGCGTAACAAAGCAACCAGCAGCCATCATATACGTATCGATATGTTCCTGTGTGTAGTCACGGGAGCGACTTCCTTGGTCTCGTTGCCAGTATGTGCGGGAATAGCGCGTGAATCTGTGTTTCTGGCCACTCTTTTCAGTTGTACTTCCAATGGAGTTTGTCCGCTCACCGCCCCAAAAACTACCGTAACCACAGCTGGCATCGCACGTTTGAGAGTCGTGTAGGGTTTGAGAAGGGTTTTGGCAAGCCCACTGCAGTAGAACTGCTTTGTTCGCTCACAAGGTCGAGGAGGAAAAAGACGAGCGAGATTGGATTTAGAGAGGAACGTGGCTCTTCTATTCATGAAACATATCGGACCATACGCGTTCGGATTGTTTTCGGTTGTGCTGTCGCAGACACCCAACCTTATTTTCCTCGTGAACATGGGAATCGAACAGACACGACGATACGATGTGTTGCTTGCATGGTTTTGAAGTCTCTCCATATCTCATCATGTGCAACACACAGATCACGAAAAAAATATGCTTTTGACTGCTTGGTTTGGTTATCCCTCAAGTATTCTATCGCCTTTTCAGCGCACCTGTTGTGTAATATGTCGTTCTACGTGTAAAAGCCAAATACCATGCGATGCAGCCGACCTCGACATGCCCTGGGCAATAACTCAAAACAGATTTGTGATGCCAATGGCAAGAATGGTATGCCCTGTTCTTGACATTCGATGCAAAGTCGTGGTCTAACCTCTGTACTAGGCCGCTTGAGACTTGACGACACAGCGATATTCCCGAGTCCATCCGATATTTGGCGTCATCGCACAAGCTACAGCTACAGCTGTAATCGCATTTGCTATCCGCTTGGAGAGACTCACAACTTAACAAGTTGCTCCCGCCGTGGTTCTTTTTTCCGCCGACCTCTTGAAACAGCCACTACACCGAGCGGAAGAAATGCGGCCCACGCAGCGGCCAGAAAACGGGGAATGGCACGAGACGGCAGCCTGCGGGCACCTCTCCCCCTGATTGCGCGGGTTCATCGGGCGCAGACGCTCGTAAGCAGAGGCGACAGTTCATGGAGTATCAACAACGCGCCCTCCGGACACAACAGCAGCAGCACGCGGCCGTTGGTGGGTTGGCCCGGGCGCCTGCTTCAAGTGCCAGCAGCCGGTACCCTGCGGTGGCCCATAGTCGCCCCCTGGCGCCGCACGCCTCGGTGCTCACTACCGGCGAGCTGAGCGGAGAGACGACGTGCGTAGACCAAACGGACTGCTCTGACAATGGGCTGCCCCCCCACCGAGTGCTGTCGCGAGACGAATCAGGTAGCAGCTGGTGGTCCCTCGATGACCAAGGCGGCGCGGGGGCGGCCGTGTCGGCGCGCTTGAGCGGCGTCCCTGCCCTTATCCCCAGCTCGTGGCCTCAGCGCGAGCACCACCGGCCACACCAGCAGCATCACCAAGGCGGCAACAACGACTTCTCGAATGATGTGGCCGGCGTTAAGAACTACGGGCAGAGGACGGGGCTCTGGGGCGGGCTGCGCTCTGGCAGCGCTGCGGGCACCGGGTCCGGCAGTGGAGGCAGTACCGGCGAATCCTGGGACGACGACTCCGAGGAGGGCCAGGGACAGAATGAAGAAGAGGTAGCAGCGCTGTTGCTCGGCCTCGGCAAGACAACGAACGAAGATTTCGAGGGGTTCTCGGACGACGACGAGCAACCGGCGCCCGAAAGGCCGGTTCGCCCCGGTGGCGTGGGCATGTTTCGGGAGCCCCCCCGCCACCTGCCGGTGTCCAACGCCTCTCAAGAACTGAGCGTCTGAAAGGGCGGTCTTAGCGTTAATACCCTCTCGCTGTTAAGGGAAGTTAGGCAGCGGTGGGCACAGACTGATTGTCGCGTTCGGTTGCACCGCTTTCACCTAGCAGCAACAAGGTGTGGTAGACTAGAGGCCATTGATATACTTCGTACATTCGCCGGACGGGAAATTAAGAACGCCTCTTCCTGTGCGTGTAGCGTTCGCAATGATTCCCTCGCTGAATTACGTTTCACACGTGCTCCTAAGAGGAATATTTGCGCTCGAGCATAGATTTACGCGCTCGTGGCAGTTCTTTACAAGCTTAACATAGAGTGCGCGAGATTTGGAAGGGACACGGGTGGTTGTATAGACGTATGCGTGGATCGAATTGGGCTGTTGAGTGGGGTACTTTCGTACCACTCAGTAGACGGCGACGACGCGCGTGCCCTACCTGCTAGTATACACCCTAATAGCCAGGGGCGACAGATCGAAGCCGTAAGGTGTCTGTTTAGGAGTACCTCCGTGTGCTGTTGAGCGGTATTTTGCTTTTGTCGATGTTTTGGTCGTTCGATGTTGCGCGCGGTTTCTCGCGTACGTCTATTTGCTGGCCTGGTAGAACTGGTCGCCGGAGTCTCGAGAAGTCCCGACGACGAGTGCTTCACAGCATCTTTGTGGCTGTTCCAAAGATGTTTTGCGTGCTTGCGAAGATGATGAAATACAGCTCATTTGTTGGTAAGCTTGTCATATTCTTGGTCGTGCTTTCGTGCTTTCGCGGGGGTCCTCTTTGGGTTACTCTTACTCTGTCGTGATTGTCTGCATTTACCTTCTGTAGCGCATACACCCAGTAGGCACGGTATTTTGTCGCGCGAGGATTCTTTATTGACTCCCCCATGTTTCTTGTTTTCTCCACGCATACGGCGGAACGCCGGTTGATGTTCTCGGGGCCGGTCCCGGATGCCCCGCAAGTATTGGGAGTAGCAGATGAAGCGTTGCCAGATGATTTTATGGTGCGAGGTTGAGATGAAGTTGTATGGGAAAAAAATGACACGTTTCGCGACTTGTTGGACTCTGTGACAAGCAGGCTCAGGCTTTCACACATGTGCGTGTGGGACAGGTCGTTGGTCTGAGTCTCACGCAACCTCACATCAAGAGTCCAGCCTCAACCAAACCATGTCATTGTCACCCCAACCGCTGAGTAAGCAAACAAATCGATTTTACCACGCTGTTGGGGCATCAGGTCATCGGATATCATCACCACCGAACGTCAATTTGGGGTGCTTCCATACACTGCCACCGATGCCCGGACAGCAGTGGAGGAAGTAAGCACGTGGTCGCCCCCTTTTGCGGGTCGGGTTTGAAATACAGTAGCCCCCGAGTGTTGCGCCCCCAGGAAAGAAACCATGTCGCTATATTACCTCAGACCGAAGACGCTGTTGTTCCCTTTGTTCCCGAAACACAAGATACACTGTCGACATGGGCCGTCTCGGACACTTTTTCTTCCCTCGACACGAACAATCCTGTCTGCGTCGTGATGGAAAGGCAACTAAAACACTTGAGGTTGTGCAGAATGGGCCCGCAGGTAGGAAAAAAGTGTACCAAGAAACAGTTTCACACTTTTTTCGGAAGATATGAAAATAGGGCTAGAAAATACACCTGGGGTTGATCCTTACACTTAATCTACAACCTAGCTCGACAGTGGCGATAAATAAGAAACTTGAGCCTCGACCCGATATTGACGTTTCTTTGTCTCCGGGCCCGCTATACACGTGTCCAGCAGTGTCGCTTTTCTCAAGCTGGTGTCGGCGATTTTTCCATCCTCGTTGTAACGTGAGACAGGCTCTCCGTCCTCAAGCTTTCACAGACACGTTGGTGAATTCACCCTTGAGGTACCTGAAGTCGGAAAAAGGCAACGCCGGATCACTTTCTTCAAGTGATGAGCGAATCCCCAGTACAAGCACACCGCTTTAACATGATGCCGATGCTTCGGTACTGCCACAAAAGGCCAACAAGCTCGAGATCAAAGCAAAAAATATGCCGTTGGCTGGCGTTTGTCGGTTGTACGTAAAGAAAATTGAACGTACCACCACACAAGGTCTCTGCAATCCCAATTCCCTCACGATGGTCCCTTACCTCAGGGCTACCTTGATAGCGTCGATCTCAATACGAGGAACACCGCTATCTTCGAAGACTTCTTCCAGTTCGCTGGCATCGAGGCTGCCGAACGGGCTTTCCTCTTCGGGGTTTTCCGGCAAAAATTCCTGTTATTTGCACGGTAGCCGGCGGACGAAGTGGTGACGATCGCGTTTCGATGGAGATAGCATGGGGTTTGGACAGGAGAAACGGGAGCGCATCCGTAACCGGTCCTACATACCAGAATAGCATAATACCAGTCTCACATTCGTTTCTCAAGCAGAGCCGTGGTGGGTAGTAGTGAGTGGGGTGGCGAACGTTTGAGGGTGGGGCGGGGGGGGGGGGGG